ATCACAAATATTTAGTCTACAAAAATATCCTTTAACAGCTCAATTGCAATCACTCTGCCTCTCACGAACTACTCCACAAATAATTAGATATCAATGCGAATAACTGTCATAAACCACTTTAGGCACTTAATTAATCCAATTAAAGCCATATTGGTATTTGCGATCAAATTAAAAAAACAAAACACAACAAAAAAGAACGAAATTCGAGCCTGCACAAATAATGAAATTAATTTGTTGAATAATTACAAGCTGGGCAATAACACAAGTGAACTCATTATGTAATGAACGGTCCTTTTCGTACGGTAAAACACACACACACACCACACACACAGGCGAACAGCAACAAAACAGAAAGCGGCGAACATCATAATAAAAATAACATTAAAGTGGCAAGGCAAAAGGGATCATAAAAATGAAATCAACGTATTAACTACATGGCAGACAGCAGCGACACACACACGCACGCACACACGCACACGCACACAGACACATTTATAGTCATAACAAGCTCACGCCATATCCTCATCCAGCAGCTGGGCAGATAAAACGCAACGAAATAAAATCAATTCAAATAAAAGCATAAATACGACCACAGGAAATGAAAATGACGATGACTCCGTTGCCTTTACACTCTCCCTCTCACACTCTGTCACACACACACACACATACTCTCTCTCTCTCACTCATCCAACCATTCGCATACGCAGCACCCAAAAAGCTGGCTGGCCTCCCACCCTCAAGGGCTCGGCCTGCAGATGACTGTAACTGTTCGAGCCCGAGGGGCAGAAAGAGACGGGTGGAATGGGTGTGTCGGCAGCAAGGGGGCGAGAGCAGTGCAGAGCAGGACGAACTGAGCTGAACATGTAAGCGCGCATTTTACGGCACAAGCATTTTCGCTTAATAAAATGTTAAGTGGGGGAGAAAAAGGGCGGCAGACAAAAAGCGACAGCGCCACTGTGAAGTTGACTGTGCGTGAATGTGAGGCAAAAAGGACTTACCGAGAGAAACGACAAATAGACAGACAAACAGAACGCCCAACTGTCAGTCAGACAGACAGACAGACGGACAGACAGACTGACTGGCAAGCCAAGCCAAGCCAGGCCAAACCAAGCGAAGCAGTGGGGCAGGCAGAGTCGTAAAATTATATTTACAACACAAACAAAGCTGTCGACAAGGCAGCAGCAGCAGCAGCAGCAGCAGCAACGCCAGCAGCGACTGCGACGACAAGAGCGAAGCTGAATACAATGATAAGCATGAAGCGGATGAGAGACCTACACACACACACACAAACACACACACACACACATACACAGGCAGACATTCTGTTACACGTACACGTGCGCCCATACTCTTCACCCGTCTCCCTCTTACACTCCTACTCCCACTCTTCAATAAAACTTGAAGCGCCTGCAAAAAGGGCGCCGTGTGCTTTGTTGAACGTCAGGCAAGAGATGAGACCGAGGCGCCCAGCAATTTCCCGCACTCAAAAAATAACAATGGCGCGTTGAAAATATCCGCTTCCGCTACCGAAGGCACAAAAATACAAAAAATAAAAGAAAAGACAAAATCTATGCTAGCACGAGTGAGAGCGAGAAAGAGAGAGACAGCACACACACCCACACACACACACGCAGGACGGCAAGGCGCAGAGCAGCTGCGACTTACGCTGTAGTCTGCTTTTTTGGCTAAACGGCGAGCGTGCGAGTGAGACAGAGCATAAAAACGCCAGAACGTGCGACTGGCAAACGCAACACTCCAAAAATACCAAAAAGATGAAGAAAAAAATATAAAAAAAAAGTTTAATTCAATTTAAGCACAATGAAATCATATTTTGCAACAAAATGTACAAAATTCAGTTTTGGCCCATGGAAGCTGACAACTTGAAAATGCTTTTCATTTGCTCGACTTTATGTGTGTGTGTGTGTGTGTGTGCGTGTGTTGAGTGTATGTTTGAGTGTAGTTGAGTGTGTATTTACGTAGCTTTGCCAGCTGGCAATTCCATTTCTATTAGCATTAGCTGGACAGCCAAAACATCGTGTGGCAGGTATATTTATGTGTGTGTGTGTGTGTGTCTGTGTGACTGCTGCGGGTGTTGTTTGGATAGCCATGCGACTAGAATATGTTGGCATAAATATTTATACGCTTGCAGCGCCGACACAAACACAGACGCAGCCGACAAGCCAAAGCACAAATATGCAAAGCTCTCAAGCTACTGTGTGTGAGTATTTGTGTGTGTGCGTATGCATGACTTTGGCTTATGTGCACAGTGGAAACTCATTGGAGCGAACAAGTGCGCTTACACAAAAAGTTTGATTGAATTAGTATTGGTTGAAAATTAAATATACAAATTAGAGTAACATAAAAAATTCATAACATATATAGATATACAGCAATGTTATTTCTTTATTAAAAACATTCATAAATATACGTAAAAAAAAATACTGAACATAGTTTTATGACATACAAAAAATAAATTACAAAAATCTTTACAAATTATGTTTCTTATAAAACTTCAAGCACTAATGCACTCTCACTGCTTCTCTTACTCTTATTTTTTTGCTCTTCGCACAGTACAGCTTGTGCTCTTAATTAAATTCACGATGTGGACTTGACTGTATGATGTAGTCTTTGCTGTGCATGAGTGCGGCTGTGTGTGTAGAGTGTGAATATATGTATTGTGTATGTGTGTGACTACTTGAAAATCACATTAAGCCCGCTGGCATAGCTCTGCCACCAAGTAGGCAGCCAAGGATGTATGACTGACTAACCGTATCTCTCTTTATCTCTTCATCTCTCCCGCTCTTCTTCTGTTTGACTGTCCAATTGTTGTATTTGCAAATGGCAACTTGGACCTCAGTGGTTGTTGTTGCGCCTTTTGCCAGTTTTTGCGATTGTATGTGTGTGTGAGTGTATCTTGTTTATTATTCATGCTGTGTGCTCCTTTGCACCATTACAAGGTCCTTGTGGCTGACGCTGCGCTCTGTTTAAATGGCGCATAAAATATTAATGGCTTCATTAGCATTCGCACAAATTTCTCATAATTACATAATCAGAAGGGGACTCACAGGGCGGCTAAAAGGGGGAGCTGAATCGAAAACGATGTGCAACATTTTGTGGCAACAAAGCCGCTTTATAGTATGAATTATATACAGTTTTCCGCAAAACTGTACAGACGCACAAAGCCTTTTTGGCCAAATTGAGGTCCCTTTGCTGGGCAACGCACTGAGCCGTTAAGTGGGCGGCCATGGGGAGGAGTTCAAAGTGACAGCAAACATTTTGCCTATGAGCTGGCCGGGATTTGAAATATTGCCGTGCGCGTTCGAAAGCAAGAGACAGCTAGAGACAGAGCGAGCGAGTTGAATGAGATGGCAAGCAATAAAATGAAAAATATTTGAACTTTAGCAAAAAGCGCACAAGGATATCAATTCCCAGAAGCATACAAAAATACACAAATGCATGTGCCAGCATGTGTGCGTGTGTATACAATGTGTGTGTATGCGTAGTCAAATCCAACTAGAATCAGAATCACAGCAATAAAATTGAAAGAGCGTGCACGAATGCCAATAGAAAACAAATAGCAAGGAGAGGAGAAGCAGAGGCGGATGGGCTCCACAGTATATTAGGTTGAAGCACAAACAAGTTTTTTTCGGCACACAAATGGGACATAAGAGGCAAAAAAAAAGAAGGAGGCGAAACGAAAAAGAGACGCTGAGAAAGGACGAAGGCAACGACAGACAACGTTTAATTGCCTTTTTGCCTCAATGGCAGCAAAGGCGAATTTAAAATGAGAAACAAAATCAACAACAACAATAAGAACAACAATAACGACAACATTGATGAGTGATTCGTGTCAAATTCAGCAAAGCTTTAGAATGTGTCATCCGATATGTAATAAGCTAGAGCACGTGTCCTGTGAAAGGAAAACAATATTAAGGCAGTCAAAGTTACACAAAGGTCAAACGGAACATTATGGCTTTATTTTGCGCCTAATAAATCTCATTATGTCATTATATGCTCGAGCAACAACAACAACCATAACAAGAAACAGCAGAGGTAACCGAAACAGCAGAACAAAAAATAAATAGTAGCCGCTAACTGCGCTGTCGGCTTCGTCGTCGACGTCGCGTCGTTGAAACGGCAACAGCCAAACGACATGCCAATCAGTAATCAATCCGCACGCACATTCACAACGAGGACGTCGCCAGCTCTGCCGCGCGCTCTCTTCTTCAACCAAAAACAATTTGCTAAGGCAGATATGAGTAATTACAATCGTATGAAATACCAAATACCCTGTATGCTCAAGAGAGCAACTAGTTTCGTCCATATGAAAAGAATTTTTAATTATTTGATTAAATTAAATGTGGTTTGTTTTGCTTAAATCAATACAACACAAAAATAAACAACTATTTGTTATATATGTACATATGTCTTCATTTTCGAATGCATACTTCTTATTGGAGTCGTATTGGTCTGGTTGTCCCAACCTAATGTTGCCAATAAGAAACTCTACAAAAGGAGCACCAGCAATGCTGGCAAGTGAGACCACACGACGTCACAGTAAACAAAATGAAAAGAGATAAACATAGAGCAGCACTGCGCAACATGGCGTCAGCAGCAGTCAGTGGCACTGTCGTTGAGCGCGAGCGAGAACGAGAGCGCCCAGAGACTGAGCGCACAGCAAAAACGCCGCCATTAAAGAAATTCCTCTCAGAGAGTGCGACGTGTATATGTATGGGAATGCTTTCGTGTGCGGCATGCGTGTGCAAATGCCGCAGAGTTGTCGACTCACAAGCGGGAAAACCCAATAATTAGTCAAGTTAAGTTATACACTAAATTTTAGACAATACGATCATATTTATAATACCTTAAAAAATAGTTAGATTACAGCAGTTTGAAAGTTCGTGGTTTTTGTTGCCAGTTGGTTGGATTGTTTACTTGAAGACTTTGGTTGACAACCCTGGCTTGCGCGCCGCTGTGTTGCCAGCGAGAGCCGCTCAATTTATGCGCTTTTTGTACGCGTTGCTCCTTCGTGGCGGACAGTACGGATGAAACACTGTCGACGCAAACTAGGCGAAAAGTTCTATGAGAAATAACAAAAAAAAAAATATAAAAAAACAATCCAACATTTTTAGCATAAATTGTGTGCTAAACCATACGATTTCCATGAGCAAATAGGCAAAGGTAGTAAATCATATTTCATGCCTCACAATAATTTATACAAATAATAGTGCTCATGTGTGTGTGTATGTGCGTGTATTTGAGTATTAATTTATTCAAACAACACAATAGCAAAAAGTGTTAAAAAAAAATGTCTTGCGTCTATGCCAACTTCTCTTCGTGTTCGCCGCGACGCGTCTTGTGTTTCTCGGTGTATTCGTGTGTGAGTGTTTGTCTGTTTGTGTGCATGAGTGTTTTAAGCAATTAACCAGCAGCAGTGTAGAAATGCCAAAAACGCATTAAAAATTATTACTCGTTGGCTGTCTGTCATTCACAAGAAACAGCAAAAGCAACAACAACAGCAACAATACACAAGTGCTTTTTGCCGCCGCTACTCATAAAACAAATTACCCACTTGGGCTTGACTGTTATGCGTGCGTGCGTATGTGTGTGTATATATTTATATATATATATATATATAAATTTGTATATGTGTGAAAAGAGCAGCGTAATCATCATCAGCAGTCGCTGACTGACACAAGCAAAGCTACAACTACATTCATACATATACATATATACATACACTACTATACACGAATACTGATGCAAACAAAAAAGTAGTAAGCAGTCGCCGCAATAGTAGTAAAACGGCCAAAAAGGCAGTGGCAATATGTTGCCACCAACAACAAAAACAACAACCACAGCAGCCGTATAATACCGGAATAAAATTTCTATACAGCGCGCTTGTCGACGTCGTGGTCGTCGTCGTCTTCTCTCACATGAACTGTGCATATGTATGTGTGCATTGCTCTTGCTCTTGCTCTCGCTCTCAGCTGCTCTCTGTCGCTCTTGCTTTTAATGGCTGCAGTGAGCGACAGTTTTTTATTTTTTTTCGGTTATAGCAACAATGTTGGGCAGCAGAAGCATCGCGCAGCGAAGTTGTTGGCGTTAAGGCAAATGTTTGTGTGTTTGTAAATGCGATGCATATACATGTATGCGTACATTTTGTATAGTTGTGTGTGTGTGAATATGCGAGTTTTTTATGTTTCGCACAAACATTGCGGTAAAAGAACGCCGACAAACGTTCGTCGCTGGTCGCTTAGTCGCTCTCACTAATTGTGACGTCTGCGCGCGTGCGTCAAGTCGGTCGGTCGCTCCGTCTATTTGTCGTTCGGTCCGTCGGTCGGTCGTTTGGTCGGTCATTTCGTTGTACAACTAACTCCCCCGTGTATTTTTTACTTCAATTGTGTATGCCTGTGTGTGTGTGTGTGCGCGCGCTCCAAACATACTCACACACTCGCACACACAGCTTCGCCGTTCGCGCGCTCTCGCTCTCACACAAAGTGCCGTTTTTGTATTATTTGTAGAAGAAGAAATAAAAAAGAAAACAACTAACCTCATATAAAAGTTCATGCAGTGAAAAAAACAACCAAGAAAATTTGCCAGAAGCATATTTGTCAAATAAAAAAAGTAATAACAGAAAAAAAAAAATTAAAAGAGTGTGCGCAATCTGTACCCTTCTCGCTCTTGCTCTTATATAAATGGCAAATAATTCTTGAGATTGGATACAACAACAACGACGTGAAAAAGGAAAGCTCTGCCTACAACAACGAAAATTTGTGGATTTACATTTCCTGTGTGCAGCAGCAGCAGCACCAACAACAACGCCTTCGTCGGCGTTTCTTTTGTGGATTATTACTACCTAAAAACCGCTGCTCACTTTGCGGGCCGCACTCTCTCACTCAGTCGCTCTCTGTCGCACGCGAGTGCAAGGGTCGCTGCGCGAGCAAGCCAGAGCCAGCAGGCAACGAAAATCCTCGTTCGCACCTTGCTCCCCACCATTCTCTCTCATACTCCACTCTCACCCATCCACTACTACTCACCATTCTGCGTCTCTCCTCCCCTAACGTCGCTCACTGCCGTCGCCGCCAACAACTGAAAACAACAAGAACGGCAACAACAACAACAACAGCGGCTGCATGCTGTCGTCTATGAAGCAGGAACGAGCATATCAACAGCAGAAATTGCGATTATTTTGGATTTATAAAAAGGCAAGTAAGCAAACCTAACCAAACACTTCTTATACATACATATGCATGTGTGTGAGTATGTATGAATATATGAGTGAACGTCTCTCTGTGTGTATGAATGTATGTGTGTGTGTGTGTGTGTGTACATGTGTATATTTGTTTAATGTGGCATGCTATAAATCCCAAAAGACGGCCCCCCGCCGCCTCACGTTTCGCTGTTGTGCGTGGAAGCGAGATAGTTGGCTGCGTGTGGCAGAGCGAGAGCGGGCAAGAGAGTAAATTGATTTCCAGTTTGATTAATTGCCGCTTGCTGCTGCTGCTGCTGTTGCCGTTGCTGCGGGGCGCATGTTTCTTTTTTTTTCGTTTTTGATTTTTTTTCTCTCTTGCCTCAAGTTAATGCCAATTAAGGTGTTTCAATTTAAGCCGATTTGTAATTAAATGGGTTTTTTGTTTGATCTGACCTCCCGGCACACCCGGGCAGCCCGCTGAAGCGATTAGAAATCGTCAGGCGGCTGCGCAGCAATTTGCCCATAAATATGTATAAACATGCTAAAAACATGTCAAAAAAATTGCCATTTTCAGATTTATGGCTGATGATTTAAATTGTTGCGTTTCGTATTTTTGTTGCTTGTCGCGCTCATTAAACGTGGGAAGTTTGCTTTTTAAGTATTTAGGGAATTAAATATTTCCCCCGTTGCTATTTGCTATGTGTGTGTATATGTGTGTGAGCGGCGGTGACAAGCAAATGACGGCTCATTGAGTTTTTATTATTACGAATTTAAAGTACGCGAACACACTCACACAAATACACACAGTCTGTCACACACACGCACTCACACTCGCTAAGAGAAATTCCCATAAAAGGGGCGTCGTCGACAAACAAAAGGGACGAACAGAGCAAATACATGCATAAATACAAATGAAAAAGGAATCACGCTGCCTAATGAAGCCTGCGGCGCGCAGCGCAGTCAGGTCGGCCATGTTGGGGAGTACGAAGTGACTAAACGACGAAGCGACCAAACGACCGACCAAACGACGAACCGGCCGAAAGACGAACGATAAACAAAACCGTGTGCGCTGTTTGAGAGAGAAGCATTGGAGAGGGAGGAATAGGAGGACAAAGCGCACGTAGCCCACTCAGCTCCCTTTTGGGCGCCGCGTTCGTCGCTTTCTCGCTCGCTCTCGCACTCAATCACTTTGCCTGTTTGGCCTGTTCTAGCGCACAGAGAATTGGCTTCTGCTGTGTTGCGTGTTTTTGTTTTTGCTTTGATAAGTTCTTGCCTGGGCGTGTTTTGCATTTAGTTGAAATTATGAAATTTCAACACTGAGTAAGTGTGTGTGTGTGTGTGTGTGTGTGTGTTGTGTCTGTGTGTGTATATAAGTACAGCAAGTGGTGTTTGTGTTTATGATAAAGACATTTATTTTCTTAATGACTTATGACTGTGCAATTCGCTTACGTTTGCCATGCGAATAAAGATAAAGAATAATTGAAAGTTTTTTCTATTTCTTTTACAATTATTAAAGGATTGATTTTTAATGAGTTTTTAGTAGCACGCTTTTAAGGGTGCTGTAAAGATTCTGAATTGAATATGATTTATAGATTTAATACTTGTTATGTAATCGTAATCAAGAGCGAAAATATGGCTGTTGTGCTCTGCATAAAACTTATCAGCTGCGCATAGCGTGGAAACTGTTTTCAGGCATTTACATATTATATATAATGTACATACAGTATATTAATCTAACTATTCATATTAAAATGTTTTCATAATGTTGGGTCTATCACTATTTGGCATCATTCATTTATAGAGTTTTTGTTTTGTTTTTGTTTGTTATTTTTGCGCTGTCAGATAATTAAACAAACGAACTGCGTTAAACGCTCTATAAACAAACATAATGAAACAGAACAGCAGCAGCCGCAACATCAGCTAGTCATCGACTGTAGATGGCGCTACAGATACGGCCAGAGATACAAGCAATAGATAGACAGATACAGAACAGCAGCAGTAGCAGCCAGCGCACAATTAAGCATCTATTAGACGCGCTCTCTCGGTCATAACATTAAAAATGCTTTACAGCGAGTAGGCCGCAGTAAGAAGGCAGCTAGCCAGCCCCTGCCCCAACCCCAACCCCAACCCCAGCCCCAGTCAGCCAGCCAGCGAGCTGAGCAACCGCAAAAGCTAGCTAAATCCAAAGCCACACAAAAAAAAAAAAAAAAGAAACAAAAGCAACACAAGTGGCGGTTGGGGTTGAAGTGTGAGTAGAGAGGGGGACAGGCATAGGCAGCGGAGGGAGGGTGGCTTGGTGGCGCGCACAATCGTGACGCCAACTTAGTTACGGTCATTAGCACCAGCAGCGCCGGCAGCGACAGGCCAAAGCTGCCTGCCTATGCTCTATATGCATGTATTAAACACACATACACACACACACACACATACAGGGACTGGCACGCACACAGGCATACATAATAATTTGTCACACTGTCGGAGTCGCTGGCAAACGCTGGTAAAAGTTGCTCCCAGCTATAACAGCAACAGCAACAGCAGCAGCAGCAGCAGTCAAGACTTGTACAAGATACATGCACAACTACACAGATACACACACACACACAGACACAGAGACACTCACACATACGTTAACTGACTTTTAGTTGGCGCATTGGGAGCTTTTGCCTTTTTCTGCAAAGTGTAATTGGCTTTGTTGATGTTGTTGTTGCTGCTGCTGTTGTTGTTGCTGTTATTGTTGTTGTTGGTTGTTTGGCATTTGCCACCGTTCTGCGCCTCGAGACGATAACAATTTGAACGCTACAAATGTGTCAATTGCCTGACAAAACATTCCATGCACACATACAATCACACATAAGCACACACACACACACACACCCATACGTGTTTGTACGTAAATATAATTATATTTAGTTAAAGACTTGGTTTGCCTGCGTCTAATCTTTGCTTTGGTGAGCATTGTCATTTGTTTTCGAAGCTTAATTAACATGCGAATCAACACGAAATGTTAATTTAGTGCTGTTAAAATTATGTTAACATTCAAATTGTCACATCATCACATATGAGAGCAGTTATTTAATGATTATTTATAACAGCTGTTGCTGCTGCTGTTAATATAAACATTAGAAGAGGTAAAAATGTCATTCTGTGCTGTTATTAGCTAGCTAACATAAGCATTTAGCCTAGCTAATGTTAATTGAATAGTATTGAGAGTAATTTAATAATATGCAAATGTTATTTACAGGCTGTTAGGTCGCTGTTGGGGTACTTCATGCAATTCAACTGTTTATTAAGCTTACGTTTTTTAACTTATTATCAATAACTGTCTGCCATAGATAACATTTTAATTTTGCTGTTGACACTCACATTAGCTAGTGATAAATTATTGAAATGTCTATTGCTTGCGCTTAATTTGCAACGAATTTTTTGTGATAACAGTTGAAGGACGTGCAAAAGATAATTAGGCCATATCACTGGCAATGCAACGCTGTTAAGCTATTCTTCGTTTTATGTTAGGCAAATTTCTTTCAATTGAAATCAACAGAGAATAGTTTAACATTTTTGTGCTATATTAACAGCTTTTAATAACAGTCACTTGGCATACATAATTATTCTTATTATGTTAAGCTTTAGTTATGTCACTGTTAGCTACTTTCAGTGTTCGATTTATGTTGACAGACTCCAATATTAAATGTTAAACAGTCTTGTAGAAACATTCTCTTATATACCGATCCATTCTACTTCTCACACAACTGCATACATGTACTACTCGACAATTTGGAAATGATTAAGTGGATTATGCTCAGAAATGGAAATTGAGCTGACTTCAGAATTATTTCAAGCGCCACTCGTATTCTGCTCCCTGTATTCGCGACTTGATATAAATCAGTCTGAGACACAAACAGAGCTATGTATGTGTGTGTATATGTGCATACATCTATAGAGATACGGCTCAGTCGCTTAAGTTGGGCCATTTGTCAGGGCCCCGCCTCGTCGACACGATTAAAGCAAATTGATTTGTTCAATTCTCATAAATGTCTGACAGTGACAAACGTTTTTTTCCAATTTTTATTTTATTTTTTTACTATTTTGTTGTTGTCTCTCATTTCAATACGCCCATGCAAAGTTTTAAGCTTGTAGCGAATTTCAATTGTGCAAAAGTGAACGACAATAAAATATATATACACTATGAGAGAATACTACTGAATGTTAAATAAAATGTTAACTAAATAATAGATGCAATAATCAATGATATCATAATAAATGTCATTACGATGTAAATGAAAACTAAAGAACAATTAAACTACAGGAAATAAATATCTATAATGAATGTAAATTGAATGTAAAGTGTTCTAAGAATACTCTAAATAGAATTGATTTGATTTCTAGTAATATAGTTCATTAAATTAATATACTCTAGCCAAAAGTGGATGTTCAATTAATTGGAATTTGATTTCATTTTATTTATTTATTTACTTTATTTTTATTTTATTTATTTTTTTTTTTTTTTTTTTTTTTTTTTTTTTT